ACTACACACAGTAGAGAGATATCTTACTAATTTATTTATTTATTTATAAAGAATAGATAATAATAATATTATATATAATATATAAACACACACACACACACACACACACACACACACACACACACACTGCAACCTCACTGTACCTTACAAAATATTGGAAACTACACATTTATTGCTTACTGTGTAAGTATGGTAATCTAGGAAACATGATGTTCATAAGCACTTTCATACCTATAATTACTACTAAATCCTGACCACCCAAGTTTATTAGATCAGATACAACTTTGTAGAGACACATCATAAAGATTTCCTCTCAGTTTTATATAGTAGTTTAGACAATTCTTGTTGCAACTACTGTACTGTGTAAACAAGCCAATAAATACTTCCCCTGTGTTTTCAGAGTCGGGATTTGAATAGAATCTGTAAGGAACATCCATTTATCAACCACTATTCAAATACCTACCAAGTATATTGGATCGGCCCAGACTTTTTACAAAGCCATACCATATGCATTTTATAATACTTTGGACAATTCTTGTTGTAACCATTATGCTGTCAAGTTCATAAATCCTACCCCACTGTGCTTTCAAAGCAGAGGGAGTTCTGGGAACAAAAACTTATTTGATACTGATGATGTCAAAGTACTCAAAGTAGGGTAACACCTAAACAGGAACGGTGATTCATTGCTTTATGTTTATTCGGCAGGTTTCTACTTCAGCCGCTAACAATAGAATAAACATAGGAAACAGGTGTAAAAAGATTAGAAGAAACTATCAGGAGATTTACTTTGTACTGAAAAGGACAATCAGTACTATTCATTTTGTTTCTTCTAGTTTCTAAGCCATCTGCTAGCAATAAAATGACTACAGAAAATAAGTGTGAAAAGGTGAGAAGTGTAAACTCTGACCATAAGTACCTTGAAATTTTGTGATCAATACTATACATTTTATTTTGCATTTGCAACCTTTATTTTCATTATACTTTGATTACTTACCTACAACCTAGAGAATCAAGTACAATGTTACAGTAAAGAAAATAATAGATAAAATATAAAGCTTTACTGCAAATAAAAATGTTTGATATTTAATTATGAGGTTTTTTTATTTTTCATTTGTTTTCACTATTTATTATGATAAAAGTAACTAAAATGTATAAAATAGAAACTTATTAGGTAAGATAATGAAAGAAAAAGAAAAAAATATTCAATACGGTAATATGAGTTACATGTGTGTCATCCAATTTTCAAATGATGTTGGAGTGTTTTTTAGACAGACACATTTCAGTGGTCAATAAAAAAATTAATCAATACAAATAGATGTACACTTTTACAAGATTTGCACTATTTAGAATAAATATTTGTGGTTTCCTGTTATAATTTGCCGTTATTCTAAAACAATAAAAGGTCATTTAGATTTATTTCCTAATTTTTATGATGGTTACGGGGTCAGTCAAATCGACCAACACCATACAGAGTTAGCACTGATAAAATAACAGATTAAATATAGTTTTATTTAAAAAAATGTATGATGATAATCTAGAAGGATATAGAGATTATGCAAATGAAACTTGACAATTTTCAGATAAAGAAAAGTATTTTTAATCTTAAAATCAAAATTTCTTTGCATGTTAGATAGCCAACAATCTGAAAGAAAAAATTCACAGGTAAATCTTTAATAAAATATCTTAATACTAAATTTAAAAACCTGACATTTTGCATATGAAAGCCTTGTAATGTTTACTAATAATTTGCAAAATTTTGTAAAGGATATGCGTACATTATCAAAAATTGTAGTAAAATTACTCTCATTGATACTTTTATGGTTACGAGCTGCGTGGATTCCATCCAGCCTGTATTCGTGAGGTTAATATAATTTATAAGTAGAAGTTATTTAGATCTCATTAGTTTATACATAAACTCTGTGAATTTAGATCCATATTCAATGTATACTACAAGCCCTGGTACATAAAGCTCTACAGAAGAGATTTTCCCTTTTCAAGTTAAGTTTTGGAACCACAGAATTTTGACTCACTTTCAAGATTAGTCAGTTGTTTTTTTACTACCAATGTTACTAGATTTAGGCCTAGTAATGTCAGTTATAAATTTAGGTCTCATCAACAATGTTCACAGGGTACTGACAACAGCTGTTTCTGGATTGATGCTATAGCATTTTCTTTAACCTCAATTTTTCATGACACCTCATTTTCCAAGAAATAGTAATTGCATAAAGCTGTACTATCATTACTTCTATCAATATCTGTTTGACTTGGTCATACAACTTTGTTCCATTTTTTATGTAATTGTTTCACCACAACCATGCCAGAAATTAAATAAAGAGTAAACTTATTTTTTTATGATATATTACATCCAGCTAAAACACAAGAACCTGGCAAGTTTAGACATAGTAATAATAAAAAATATTCCAAAGTAAATTATGAATGATGTAAGCACTTGTAAATAGTATGATTAGGATGCATGCCAAGACTGGGTTTTTATATATGACTTCTCCTTTAGTTCAATTTCCAGGAACAGCCAAGCAAACAAGCTGCTTGCTCATTATGTAAAGATTAAACAAATTATTCTTTTCTTTACTAAAGCTTTTATTTAAAATGAAAATTTTATGGCATACACAAAAAATCAGATTTGTTTTTATGAGTATTTTTGCTAAAGCTTTGTCCATGAATTTACAAGGTCATTCTGACTCGCATCCTGACTAGTAGAGTGCAATGTGACTTGACTTTCATGTCAAGAATAAAAATTCTTTATCTTACAGTTTTCATTCATATAACTTCCAGAACTTCCTAAACAAATAAAGTTTTTTCTGTTTTTTTTTTATAAAACTTTGTGCTTTGTTACAGTAAACAAATTATCAAATTATACAACAGACAAGCAGCTTACATGCATATCTCACAAAGTTTTTTTTAGTTTAAGTTTTCTTATCTATACTAGCAAGTTTCTGATATTTACACTTAAGATACTTTTATAACAATAAATAAAAATTTATAAAATAAAAAATTATGCACTTACATATGGGCCTCATTTGTTTTTGTTGTTGAAGTATCGATAAAGGTTAACTTTAATTTTTATCTATTTTAAATATGCAGTTCAGAACATAAAATCATAATGAGCAGAGAATACAATGTCCTGTAATTATTATAATTCAACTGGCTTTCTAAATGAGATAAGAAGGCTTAAGTTAATTTCCTCGGCAGTTCAATCTGAACACGAAGACAAACTTTCAAACTGAAGATGAAAATGACAAAACTCTATACTAAAAACAATGCATCATTACAAATCAATTCATAGATTAAAACTTTGCCTTTCTATTAGTTCTAAATGATATAGCATAAAACATCAGCTACAATAACTGGCAATTTGTAAAAAAAAAGAGAATGTGACAGATGGATATGGCAAGTGAGTCTGATTTTCTAGTTTATGACTTTTTAAACAAATAATATTGCCTTAGTAACAGCCGTGTTGTAATAAGTAATTTACATGATATTCAATATTTTGGAGAGGGGTGGTACATAAATTAGAGAAGAGGAAAGACCAAGAGGACAAATTCATGATATGCATAATAGGGATTGAGAAATTTGATAATTTTTAAAAATATTTCTTTATCAAATTAAGAACTTAAAACTTATATATTATTGAATTTGAATTATAAACTATGTATTAATGTCAAGTTATTGGCATAAATTGATAATAAAATTAATTATATTTTGAATGTAACTGTGAAAGGTTGTGACATATACACTTCCATCCTACTGGCCTACATGGAGTTAAAAGTGTATCATTACTGCATGCTCATTTTCAGCTGATTTTATTTGAAAATATACAATAACAATTCTCTCATACTTACTTGGAACATATTCTTTCACTTCATGTTTTCCTTTTTCTGGGATTATTAATTGAGGCTCATCACCAAGACCTCCATTCTGGTGTTTCTTCTGTAGAGTTTTCTTTAGTAAAAACATCTAGTAAAACATTAAAATTGGGTAAGTAATTAAATATTTTAAAAACATATTTATTTCCAACTTCATTAAGTGTACATAATACTGCAACTAGTGCAATCCCCATTAAGTGCCATTTGAGTATCTGTATGTACACAAAATCATACTTAGGTAGCTTTTACCCTATATTGCAGTCTGGGCTACATATCTACTATTTTCTTGATTCGTCTAATTCCAGTTGCATACTTAACTTCAGAAAATTCTGTAACTAAAGAAAAATAACAGTTTCTTTTTTTCAAAATGCATTCAGTGAAAAATTTTTAATAAGCACAAACAAATTCCTCTTTAGCAACAAAACTGTCAGATCGTAATACAAATGTTTCATAAATAACTGTTACAGTGCACATTCATAGTTTGTTAAAAATAAGATTTCAGTGGCACAATGATCTTTCCAATGTCATATTATGAATACTACATTTGTTCATTTCTGTGGTAAATACATTACTGGAAACCTTATACAAAATATTGTGGATATCACTACTTCCTTTTAATTTCTCTATTACCCTAAAATACATGCTAACTATTTCACAATAAAAATGTAAAGTTCATAAGAAATTAAAGACAATGAAAAAGTAGTGGTATCTTTCCATAAGATAATATATCTAAAAATATCTCTGGGTTATTTCACCAAGAAATACTGAAACTTTACATTTTAAAAAGCTTTAGTTATAATTTCAAACATTTTAAAGTAAAATTAACAATATTTTTATTTTTTCATTTATGCTTCAATAATGACCTTTACCATCATTTCATTATAATACTTTGTAAGTATAACAATGTTTCACAAGTATTACAATACGATGTTTCTGTTGTTTGTCTATCATTACAATACCTCATGTAGATATTTCAAGTAACAAACCACTTCAAAATTCTTTCTTTGGTTAAATTAATCAACTGTTTCATTCACCATAATTCTAACTCTGCTGCGATTCTTTCAAACGAAAACTTAGCAACTTAGATACATGTGTAACTATGAACCTAGAACTAACTTAACATAAAATAGACATTCTTTTATTTACATTGCTGTTCATCAGTTTGGACAGTTGAAAGCTTATGGAATTCTTCTATCTGTTACATTTCTTCTATTAAACACTGTTAAATAAATTTTACATATTTAAAATTTCTTACCCCTAATTCAAAATATTATGAGTGATTCTCCTTTATAACTCAAACTATATTAAATATACATTAACTTACAGTGTAGTAGTAGTCATCCACATAGGGATTATCTGTATGCAGCTGCAACATTTGAATTTTAATCAGCCAATCTTTCTCTTTTTGTGTCATTAAATTAGCATAGCTATCCGATGAAGGGCCACTTGAGTTGTTCATTCTATTGTCTTGTTCATGGCGACGGTTGTAGAATCGAGGGTATTGTGGCCTGTTTTGCCAGCTAAAAGATAAATTACAAAAATTAACTATTTGAATTAACTGAAACATACAAATGCTTTACTAAAACGCTTAAAAGATTCATAAAAATAATTTCTCAGACCTATTTCCATACAAGTACTTTGAGAAAACATTCTCTTTGAAAATTGTAAATTATTTTTTATAGCAAGGTACTATTTGTTTAGTGTTAAGCATTAAGTTGCACAACAGGCCACTTAAGATATGCCCATCACAAAGACTGAATGTTAAATATTAATATCATAAACCCATAAGTTTACACCTGGGCCACTCGGAAGTGGCAAGGTAGCGTGTAAGACTGAATGCTTAAATTATATTGTTAAACCTACATATACATGCAAATTAATAAAAATACAAAGTTGCTTGTCATATTAACTAAATCCTAAAATAAAAAAATAATATTAAAATTTTTATAAGTCACGTTTTTAACATAAACCCAATCAACCTTGCATGGATCTTGCCTTTTAGTTAGAAGACAGTTTTGCTCTTATAAATTTTCCAAAACTTTAATAATTACTATCACCCAAATATTTTCTTTCACTATAAATGAAGCCACTCCAATAATATCCACATGAAAGATACTAATGCTAACTTTTGATCAAAGCAAGTTACCTGCATAGATCATAACTACGAATCAACTCATTGTTAATTATGATTACAGATCTGTTTCATGATTTTTATATTTATATGAAACCCTGAAAATTACAATACCACAGCCTTTTGTATTAATACAAGTTGGAAATAAACAGCAGTTTCAAAGCAGTTCAAGTGATGATGAAATTATTCATCCTTTTGTTGCTGTTACTTACATATTTACATCTCCACTGACTAAAAACTGAACACAGTATATGATTGATATCTATATTAAATTTCAGTAATATTTTTAAAAACTTGTTTCATATAAATGAATTAGATTTCTTCACACACACACACACACACAATAAACAAGAAAAATTAATAATATATACAATATACAAGCACACGCAAATATATGCATTAAACAAGCAAACATCAATACACACACACACACGCATATTAAACAAGCACAGAAATAATAAAAATGCATAAAAAACCTGATAAACACATAGTATAGGTGTACTTGTATTCCTCATGTGTACTGTGTAGGTTATGCATGCCAGTGAAACTATGCCAGAGCTCGTATTTAATTATGTGCACGATGGAGGTTAGTTGTTTCTTTTCTTTTTGTCCCCACTGTGTGCTATTACTGGCATATATTTGTTTTGCAAAATGATCACATTCAGTATTTGCAGCACACTTTGAATATCTGCAAGTGATAACTGAAATACTGTTCTTCAGTGTTTGAAATGTCAAACTATATATTTATGATATGTTAATCTTTGTTTTGAGTGAAAAATTTGATTAAATACAATTCTGCATAAACTCAATGTCTGCCTTGTCACATTACTAGATCAATATATAGTATGAGTAACCATCACAGTGACGCAAGAATTCTATACTTCACAATCATACAATTACAAGTTTTAATTCAATTAAGTCCATGACATATTAATGATAATTACAAACATACAAAAAAAAAGGCTTAACTCTGCCTAGTCTCTTGTACTACCCAAACCAAACAACATCAGAACCTGGATCTCTTAACATTTTAGAAATAGTCAAATTTTGCTTTCACATATTGCATTTTATTATATAATGAAACCACAAAAAAACTGGTTGCATTTATTTTTAACATTTTACTTATCTTTCTTTCTTTACAATTAGAAACAAACAGTTGAACATGTAAGTTATTTTCCTGTAGTTTAAAGAATTTAGTCAAACAAGATTTTTTAAAATGTCAAACACTTACTTGTTAAGTAGAGGATGTGGAATTTGTCTCGGATGTAACATGTGTCTTAAGCCTGGCTGAGGATGAATGCTGTAAACAATACACAAAAAATATGATTTGAAACTTATACCACAAAACAATCAGGTGCATTGCAAGTCTTCCAAAGAATACACTACAATAAACTATATACCACTTAATATACAACATGGTATTAAATAAATTATCCCACAATATCTACATACCACTGCAACACTCACATTGAGTATCTCCTTTACAAAACTCTACATTTAAGTTACTTTGCTAAGTACAAAGGCTTACAAAAGGAACCACAAGTAGCAAACATGCAAGCAGATGAAAAATAATTTAGAAGTTATTAAAGTACACAATTAGGAAAACATCACACAACAATTATACACTAGGAAAAAAAGTACAAAATTCAAAGAATTAAGAAATCAAAATACTTGGAAAGGTTAAACTGTTATCCCCAGGAAAACATTTGCCAGGGCAGTAGTGTATAAAAAAATATTTTACATCACTGATGATTTTTAAAACTTTCAATTTCAAGCTAATGAAACATTGAAAAAATGTTCAGTCAGACTTTTCAAAAATATTTTAGCAAAAAAGAATACAACACTTCTAACAAGTAGCTACAATTAACCTGCTCGGTACAAACAGTTCAAAGTGCACATCACAACTTTTTAAGAGTTACATTGAAAATTTAATTATACTACTCTATTATCATGGTATATGAATAAACTTGGTATAAAAATGTAGTAAATAAATCACATTTTTATATACATTTTAAGTTATTAATTTTATAGAGAAATATTTTAAAAAGTTATCAATCTCACCCTAGTATGAGAATTGCAACATTTGCTTTCTAGGTACACCCTCTTCCATAATTTATTTACCACCCCTCTGAGAATTATAAACTTAATATAAATTACTCATTATAATATTGTTATTACTCAGGCAAAACATAAATGTTAGTCTTCAGTTTTATTTGGTTACAGAGCCTTATAAATAGAAAATCAGATCTCTCTTGCCATGCCTACCTGTCACATCCTAGCTTTCACAAATTACTATTTGTTCTCTCTGACATTTAATACTATATTATTTATAACCAATAGAATGCCAAAGTTATAATCTATCAAATGACTTATAATATTATGTTATATTCTGCACAGTGAATTGTCTACCTTGCTTCTTTAACATCCTATAATTGAACACTTTTTATTATACAGTATATATTGTCTCCTAACACACTGAAAATTATATAAAATACTGGAAGTACATTAAATACTATAAAATGTCACTAAATTATGAGTGGAAGATTTTCCTTTTAAAATAATTAAGTAATATTGCAATCTTAAAAGAAATGCTGCAATTCCAATCAATGAAAATTTAAATAAATAATAATATAATACCTTGGTGAACAAGCTCCAAACACAGGTGGTGTTCTAACTCCCAAATGATTTATAGGTATATGATCTGCAAAAAACAAAACAATGAACTTCAACATACTCAAAATATTTATGCAGCTCTCCAGAAGGATACAGCATACATGCTAATTTCTTAAGAAATTAAAAACAACATTCTTAAGTTCTAAGTGGGTAAATAAAATTGATTTGGCATAACTATATTCCTTATAGGTATCCAAGGCTAGGTAAAATGAAGTCCATGGTTTTAAAACAGTCAACTACATCACACTGGCTAATTTCTTCATACTGGCTAAATTCTTTACACACAGAGTACAAAAATTGTCATCACTGGCACCTTTTCTTTATGTGACTTTGACCAAAGTGGCATCAAAGATTTAAAATGGAGGAAGAACTAAAATTTTAGTCTGAAACCAGTTATGTAAGGAATAAAAAGACAAAATTTAAACCTAATAGAAATAGGCGATATGTGTTGCGTATGACGGATTTGCGATATATTTATTTTAATGTTAACATTTATTTCAAATAACTTTATATTTGAGGGTGTGTTACGTATGGCAAAACTCCCACCAATTCTCAAAGATTATAGAACATTTGTGAACACAGGAGTCAACAACACCATTTCCATATCCAGTTAAATATAGCACCTATAAAATAGCATCATGCCAAAAAGGCAACAGAGAACAGACAAGTCTACTATGAAACTGTGATTTTGCTAACCCCTATCAACTGGAAAATATACAACATTTGACCAGGAACAGTTATAAATTTCGAACATCAGCGAATTCCCATCAAACGTTACTATCTCTCCAAGAATATTACTAATTTCTCATCGGGCATTAGTGATTTTGTGAAAATATCTTACTTCAATGGTCCAACAATTCAGTGCCTGACAAAGCTAGCTAGCTTCCTGGCAAATTATATACACGTACAACTCGCTGGATATCAAAGAGACTCTGAACTAGGAAGTCGGTTTTAGGCTATTTGTAAGTTAGTGAAATTTACATCTATAAAAATTTGTTTGTAATAATTAATCACAATAGTTGCTATTGTAAATTATAGTTTTGTATGTATGTGTGTGTGTACAAACGTATTTGTGTCAAAACGGTGTGAATCAATCTTGTTGGCAAATAGCGTAAATTAAATAAAATACCGGCATATTTCTAAACCTAAATCCAAGTTACATCTCAACTATTAAAAGTTAACTTATTTAATGTGGCCTCGGATTATTTCAAATTCTCAATACATAACAATGCTCACCAAGTCTTATCAAAATCTGACATGTTTTGACTGAGTCAGAGCAAAAATAGTGTGTCCCCATGTTAACATATAGGGATTGTTTTGTGACTATGACCCTCCAAAAACTAATCACTTCTCAGTTGGGTCATAGTCCAAATTTACACCAACTTTCATCCAAAAACATTCAGCCATTTGAGAAATCTTGCTGACAAACACACACACACACACAGGTGAAAATATAACCTCCATCACAAAAACTAAAGAATCTCACATCTTAGGTATTTACAGCTCCCAATTATGTCTCAACTTTGGTTCCATATTTATTTTTAAGGAAAACAGTAGCTAGCTAGTTACCAATAATCATTTTTTTAATCCCTCTGTTAATTTATTTTAATCCAATTTCAAAAGGAATGTGCCAGAGAAATAGCACTATTTTGGCCATCACCTAGTAATAAATAACCTCAGTGCCTCCACTTGACAGGTTTGACTTTAGTAGCTTCAAACAAAGTTCCCATATTCCACTACTTAAATCTATGATTTACTTTACACACACAATAGGTTCATCCCAATTTTCTTGTTTTCCAGATATTTAGCAAACAGAATACAGTCAGTGCTCATTCAAAAGTATCAAAAGAAGATACAGGTGAAATTCACAGGATACTTTATTCATAATTAAACTTTAATGTAACTTAGAGAATTTCTCTAGGATGTGCTTAGTTTCATGTTCCCTCACTAATGAAACACATAAGGCTAAACTATTCTGCTTAAGAAATTAATGTATAACAAAAATTAATTAAAATAATTTTGAATGATGTATTCAGTTTTTCTGTACAAATATTTTCAACAATATGCTTTAAATCACTTGAGTCTAAAACAGTGTTAACACAGATGGCAAGCAAATATAAAAACTAAATTTTACGACATAGTTCCATATTTTTGCTATTATCAATTGTTTTAGATATAAAAGAAAAAAGTAAAATGATTCTAAAAAATAGTGCATCAGTCAATTACTGCTAATTAAAACATCCAATTCAAGTAAAAAGTTACTTTTTTCCAACATTTAAAAATGTCTGAAATACATATAACTTTTCTTTAACTCTCTCCGAAATTTCTAAAGACAATTTTCCAAAACAAATAAGTTACTCCAAGAATTTTATGGTTATCTTGTAAATGGAATTATCTTGGACAGGACAGGAAAAGTCTAATTCTATGGTTAGATGAAGCTATTTATCCCAAACTTATCATATGATAAAAAACAAAACAATTATTTTCACAATCTTTCAATGTCATAGTTATATTTTATGCACAATGGTTTTAACAATTTACTGTAAATGAACAAACAAATAAATGGTTTTCCATATCACTGTAAGAGAGATTTTTTTTTACAAAATATTTTTCACCCTTTGAAAGAAAAAGCTTGTATTTAACATCATAATGCAAGTATTTCAGAGTTCAAAAAATGTTCTGTAATACCATTATGATATGCAGGCATATCATATGTTATCTAATTGCTTTAGCTAAATTGGAAATTTAAAATTTTTTCATTTATTTGGTTTCAGAAAGTCAAAGATTACCTTATTCTAGTTGCTTTTTTCTTCACAGTAGCTACTGTCTATTCTGCCCAAGAGAATATTGCAGGAACATGTATCATCCAAAAAGGATTATCACTGTAATACCCTCTGCTATCAAATGAGCAAAGAAACCAAACTAACCCATTTAATTCTGATGCACTTTGACCCTGTTCTACTGTGAGATTATCATGTAAAGACTTACTTAACCCGATGACCACCGGCTATAACTTTCTGAGTAGTCAATGCAAGTCTTGCTATATTTCATCCCAACAATAAAACTAATTGTTTGAAACTTCATAAGAACTTTTTATAAAAGCATGGAGTCTTGTATATTACTTGAAACCAGAAGGGGAGAGTACATGATTATTAAAAAAATTAAAAATAGATAAAATTTGAATTTTATGGACAATAAAATTTTTTGGATGGATTTTAAAATAATGGACTAAAACAGAAAAAGTAATAAGTTCAAATCTGGAACAAATATAAATATTGTAATCATTTCTTATAAATACCATTTCCTCATGTAATATTCCAAGATATTAAAGATCATAAGGCAAAAAATAACTAAACTTATCAAAAGTAACAGGCTTTATGTTTCTTAAACTAAAATATAATATTTCTAAGTAAACCTAAAGAATAAATGAATATTTTTTTATTTTTAACTAGGATTTCATGTTTATATATGTACATAAAAACATTTTAATTTTGTTTCATAAATGTATTTTTATTTCAAGTTTTATGTTTTATTGCAGCCATACTTTTGTTTATTGTGCTGAAAAAAACCATGAGGTTAGCAGCGTGAACTTTGTACATTTGCTGTAAACTATCATGTCTGTTGGTGGTCACTCTCGTTCAGTCCAGCATTTCAACATTACTGTACATATGATAGTAAGAAAGCTTTTTGGTACTTGAATGTCATTTCTTTGAACCTTCAAACTAGTTTATTTCAATATTTGTCCTTGTATGTTGTTTCACTATACAGACAAAACTAATTGCCACTACTAGTGAATGTACAGGTAGTTCGAATAACACCGTCTGACCCTAGTTACATGATACATCCTGTAACAGGAGATTACCAAATGATACCATAAATTACAAAGAAAATTACTTAAAGCACTTAAAAGATTAGTCCTGGTCACATTCCTCTCATTATAGGCAAAATTTATGTTGGAATTAGAAACTTAAGCTCTTCAGTGTATTGACACCCCAAGTGTGAGAATGTCATAGCTTCCCCTGTATTATTGAGACTAATGTGTTCAGTATGTTCACAACCAACATATGGGTTTTATTGTTGTCACTTGCACACTGAGTTTTAAACCATTTTCAAAATATCAGAATAAACTTTTTATATATCAGTTACTGGTTTAATTATAAAACAACAACAAAAAATATATAAAAAACATGGTGATTGTTCAATCTATTATTCAAACTTATTCTTGTAGTTTGTTATGCTCCAATAGAAGACTCAAGTGAAGTGTAAAATAACCATTTCTATCTTGAACTGCGGCATGTACTTAATGGAATTCCAGAAAGATATTAAAGTATTAACTGTGGATGTGAATGCTAAGGTAAGTGTTGTTCTTAGCAGTTTCAAAATGAGGGCACAGAATGACAATAGACTCAGATTTGTGGAATGCTGTGAAAGAAATGGTTTGGTAATTAATGGTACATTGTTTTCACATTGAGAAATTCACAAAGAAACATAGAGAAGCCCTGATGTTTTAACTGTAAATCAAATAGACCACATAGCCATATCCTGCAGGCATCAATCTTTCCCTGCATAATGTCAGGTCATTTAGAAGTACAGACATGGGAAATACTAATCAAATATTTGGTTGTTGGAAAGATAATAACAACACTGTGCAAAAAAAACAAAATGCCTATACCTTTTGATTTTGTTAAGCTAAAAATCCACAAGTTGCTTTTCAGCTATTTACAAAATAGATTTCAGATACTAAATATCACAGGTGATGAACAGGGAGTTTAAAAATGGACAGAATTTAAGGAAACCTATGTAACTGCTGCAAGAGAAATCTTTGGTTATCATTGAAAGCCAAGCGAAGAACTTCTGATGATTCATGGAAATTAATAGATAAAAAAAAGCAACTGAAGATCAAGATGGAAAGTTGCAAAGATATAGTTAGAAAGAACTTTATTAAAGATCTGCATAAAGGAAAGGCAAGCAAAGTTCAAAGAACAATTACACAAGACAAACGTAGATATTATCAGCAGAAAGCAAAAGAGGAAGCAGTCAACAGAGGAGATCAAAGAATGGTCTATAAGTTAATCAAACAACTAGGAGAAAATAAATTCCCATTATGTAATTAAGAATGAGCATGGCAATTAAATTATAAAGAACAAAGACAAATTAAAAAGGTGAAAATCATAATTTCAAGTTATATTGAATGAAGATGATCCTGTGTACCTAAATGATTTTCATCTGAAAGAATTACAGGAAGAACTACCTATCCATATAACATCCATAGGCAGAAAACAAGTCATCGAGGGAGTTAATAGACTTAAGAATAATAAATGTCCAGAAAATGATATAATAACTGTATAAATGTTGAAAACATCAGGAGAAGAGATCAGATTAGCAAGATTCAATAATCTGATTAAGTAAGTCTGGGAATTGGAAAGCTATCCCATTGACTGAAAAAAAAAATCATTGTCAAAATACATTAAAAAGGAGATTTGTTGTTGGGCAGTAACTGGAGAGGATTACCTATCTATCTGTCCCAGAAATTGTTTACAGTATGATTCTGATGAAAAGAATGAAAGATGCCATAGAAGCTTTCTTGAGAGAGGAGGAGACATGCTGGTTTCAGAGCTAGTAGAGGATGTGCTGACCAGATCTTTGTTCTGAGAAATATCAACGAGCAACAAGAGGAATGGCAAAAACCCCAAGAGTTGCATTTTACTGATTTCTAAAAAAGTCTTTGATTCTGTACATAGGCAATCAATATGGTGTATAACTTGACATTATGCATCCCCCAAAAAGTTAAAAGTGTGCTCTATGAGGGATGTGAAAAATATGCGAGGGTCATCCAAGGTGACATTCTATCACCTCTCTTGCTCAGTATTATTAAGGACTGGGCTGTGAAGAAAACTGATCATACAAATGGTGGTACTTAATGGTTAAATAACACTTTTGAAAGACTTAGAATATGCTGATGTATGGTGTATCATAACACACAATCGCTAGAATGACTGAAGCACTGGCACATGAAGCTCAGAAGGTTGGTTTAGCTATTAATACTGGTAAGTCAAAGATTATAAGTTAAAAACAAATGATCTGGATAGATTCAGAGTAAATGAAGAGATAATTATAGATGTGGAAACCTTTACATGTCTTTATAGTACAGTTAATGCTGATTGAGATATATGTAAGGAAATAAAGACAAGACTGGGAAAAGCAAAAGTTGTATTTGGAAAATTGAATAGAATACAGAATAATAAAGGTTTATCTATTAAGATGAATCTTAAGTTGTTTAATAGCTTGGTTCTTTCAGTTTTGTGTATGGTTGAGACATTGCAACTTAGTCTACATTGAGAAGTTTTGAAAGTAATTGTTTAAGAAAGGTAATGAAGATCAGATGGTTTGATCATACAAGTGAAGAACTATTAAGAGAGAGAAGTGGACAACAATCAATCATAGAAAAGCTCAGGTTGTAAAGATGGAGATACTATAGGCACGTTCTAAGACTGAAGAAGAATAAACCGCCAGGACAAGCAATGGGCTGGAGGCCAACTGGAAAAAGGTGCATAGAACAATAGATAGGGATATAAGAAGTAAAGACTTGGTCAAAATAGAGGTTGAAGAATGGGCAGAAGACTGAATGCAGTGAAAAGTCTTCATAGCTGCCCTATGGACCACTTGAGGTCTGGAATGGACTGATGATGATGAGTGGTCTCAGAAATTTTTCTCTTTTAAATTCAAATATGAAATTTAGAATATAAAATATTACCAATAATATAAAATAGTATGTCCTGAAGCTAAAATAATTCATCTGGCTTTCTAACTAAGCTAAAAATTAGTTACATACTTCACATATCTGGTCAAGCAGATTTTCAGCACTTGCACATACAGAAAAGGAAACTAAAGTTTTTGAAACTGGTTATTCCACTAGTTGCTAGCCCCTGTCCCATTCAGTAAATTGATATTTTTTTTATTGCTACTAATTAGAAATAACCCAACAGGAACTGTCCTAAAGCATTATTGATATTTTTGAAAGACAGGATATTCTTGAGGAACATGGCATGTGGGTTTGACTTTCTGGTTTATGTTTCCATAAAACAAGATGCATAAAGGTTATAAAATTACATTTTAGCTCAGAGATACCTAATTTAACTGTGTAATTCATGATAAACTTAAAAAATAATATGGGGATTGAAATAAATCTAAAATGGGCATATCAAGGTGAACAAAAGACATGTGATAAAGAAAAGTGAAGAAATATGTTCTTTTGAAATTAATAAACTAAAACTTATATAATATTAAAACTTGAATCATAAACTACATTTTAATGACATGTTTACTGATATACACTGAAAATAAATTTGTCTACATTTAAATCTACCTCTATAAAAAGATTGTGACCTGTCCTAGAAGAATTAATAATTATTTCCCTTATACAGTAACTAGCAACCCACAAACTGTAGCTTACCAAGTCCAGTGGTTAACATAACAGGAGAAGACCGGCCAGCTACTGGGATGACTGAAACTGGTGGACTGTTGACCATATGTGAACCAAGGAGGTGATACGGAGTTCCCTGTTAAGGGTTTGAAATTATTAACACAATAAAAACAGCCTTAGATAAAATACATAAAAATTCTAAGTAACAGTAATGCTCTAATGTTTATCTGCATGTGGTCAAACACTCACTGAACGACAGTTTGCTTCAGAATTTTGTGCAAACCTATACGAGGGTTAATGACACACAGCCACTCCTAAAGTGATATACTTAATAGAATGCAGCTAATTCACAACATCATCACTAATTACTGGGCTACTTCTGTCTGATTTAACAATCATTCTTGTACCATATCCATATCCCAAAGTGATGAACACATTAATTTTCAGCAAAAGATTACACAATGATTCCTCAGATTCACAGTTTGGGCACTAGCCGCTACACAACATCCAGCCTGAATGATACTGATTTGTGACATTACAAATGAGCTAGACAATAGGGACTTGTTCTCACAGAATATTTAGTATTTCATATTTTATTTATTTGAATGGTGGCATCCATTACAATTTCAATTGATTCAGATAGAGAATAATTTTATTATTTCATACCTGTGTAATTTAAACACTTAACTAAGCTGAATTTCCACAGAAAAGATGTGTTCAAATGTTATATAGTGCTCATCATTTTTATGTTGGATTATTCAAATGTATATCAGCTTTTTCAAGAACTAAAATGTTATTGGTTTATGTTTTAAAGCAATAATCTAGCCAATTAATTGGTTTCAGTGTCATTAGTAATTTGGTTTGGTGCATTCATTTTAGAAGGTACACAAAATACAAGGTGTGAAATTTTGTGTTAACTACTGCCAACAGTTTAAACTACAGCATATTAATCCATGATATGGCTAGGAAATTGCCAGTTTTTATAGTAACTTTCCCATGATAGTGGATGTGGGAACAGTTATTCTGTTGATACCTTATAAATTATTTTACACTACCAAAAATGAGCTCATAGAAAAGACAACAAAAACCATGTCAAAGTCCCAATATAAATATTGAAATAATGGTTACCATACTTTACAATAAGGTTTTATTTGACAGATTTCTTTGTCATCCATCATCATAACTTAATCAAAACTGGCTGTACACTCACAAGTGAAATACTAGTGTGATTTAACATTTGTAGCCATACGTTTTACTACTGTTGAATAAATGTAGAATTTGAAGGAAGTTGTTTGAACTTCAAGTTAATAAAATTTAAAGAAAACATGCAGAAGTTTGGTCAAATTTATACAGTGGACCAGCCACCAGTTATCACCAAAAAGTTTATGCAATAACTTTCTTTTTTTAAAAAAAGCCATATAATATGTTCCTCATTGGTAAACAAACAAAATTCTTATGTGTTATTAACTCATTTTGAAAAACATTTTGAACAAGTCAATAAAAGTAAAATGTAGCAAAAAAAAAAAACCAACTCTAAAGAAATTTGCTATGAACGATATGTATTTGATTATTGTAGGTTGAACATCCATAATGAGACAACGCAGAAGATAAACTCAAGAATAAATATCAATAGACTAAATACATTGATATGAATATAATATATTAACTATATATATATATATTTTTGCTACAATAAACACTGCAAGTTAATGTAAAGGACTGGAAAAAATTGAGTACAATGGATATTATTATTTAAACACATGGGAGGTGGGAGAGCCATAGGGCCTACAACTACGGTAGTTGTTATGCATGCATAAAAATGTGCAGAATAAATTGTTGTTAAAAATACTGTAGGTGCTGCTTCAAGGTGACCTAGATACACAGGAAATTTTATATCAACAGACTAGGATATTACAAGCAGCATTGTGAAACATATCTTCAAGGTCGTGTCTCTCACAATATTGAAAATTGTTTTTTTTTTTACTGAAGTATAAATCTCGCATTAAAAATAGGCCTAAAAATGATTATAAAAATCAAGTTAACTGCAGATATTTTTTCCCCATTTTCCTCTGAACTTGTCTGTTGCAGATCAAAATCAGATGTGTAAAAATAGCTGCAATTCCAGAAATGTTAAAGTAAGAGCAATATGGGGAGAAAACATGGCAATTAACTTGACTTTTATAATACTTTTTAAATCTACTAATTTCCACAAGTTTGCCAGCTTTTGGCATTTAAACTGTAATTTTGACATATCACACAGCATATATAAATTGTGTTTCATACTGTTCTGATCTGAACAAAAAAGTTCTTAGGCAACAAATTGAGGAAAACAAAAAAGGATAAATCTGAAATGCTATTTTTCCACACCACTAATTTTGAGTCACAATGGGACAAATTAAGAGTTATGTGGAGAAAAAGAAACACCAGCAGTTAACTTGATTTTTATAGCAATTTTTGTGCCTATTGGTGTCCAAAAATTTGCCATTTAAACTGGAGCTAGTTAAATCTAGTTATTTTATTTTTATCTTTACCTGGGGTGGAGTACCAATAGGAGGCTGAGACATAAAACCTTGACTGTGAGAGGCCATTGGCACTGGAACTGACCCAGATAGGGCAGACACAGGAGAAGACCTTTTAGCTCTGGAACTTTCTTGCAAATGCCTTTCAACTTCCTGTACTGACTGTGCACGTGGTTTTAAAAGGATATCTTTTTCTACATCATCTAAAGTTCTTATTTTGTTGCTCAAGGGGAGTTGTGGGCTAGATGTTTTCCACTGTTGATCTCTTCTCAATTCATGGTAATTTTTCTCATCTTGATGGGCTTTATGAGTGAGAGGCGACCTCCAGTGGCCTCCAGATTGAGAAGGTGGTGAAATAAAGTGATTGGTTAGTGGAGATGATGAATGCATACCTAAAACTTGTTTCTCTAACTGCTCTGCCCTAACAGCCCCAAATGACATAGACTCTCTTACAGCAGGATGAGATGAATCCTGGAGCAAATCTTGTTCAGTAGGCTGAGACAACTCTTGGAGCAAATCCTGTTCAATTTCATTCACTGTACGCACATTTGGAAGCAACCTTGGAGATGAAGTGGAGAAACTGGTACTTATTAAATGTGAAACTCCTGAAAATGAGTTCTGAAAAAAAATGTAAAAAGAAATACTCAGATAAATTTCAAGAATTACAACTTGTTAGCATTGAGCTTACATTATTCTCATATTTAAGTTAAAAGTTTGTTCTTTAATAGATGCATTGTTAAAATACCTTTTTGAATCTATCTTGTAAAATAAATCAAATTCTTAATTATTGAAATTTTTAACCTGTAAAAAGCCAGTCTAAAAGTCAAACTTTGATCTTAAAAGTGTAAAGGAGAACTGTTTCAAGTATAAAAATTTATAATTTATGTTCAATCATAATTTTGAAAAAATAAATTCTCGTTCCTAATCAGTTTCAGAAATATACTAACATGACACCACCACATCTCATTAATATTCCACTAGTTTAGTATTATTACATTAAAAAAGTAAGTTTTAAGCATTGAAATATTCATTGAAAATAAAAATATTCCAATTAATGTGAGAAGTATGTCCATCAAAATCACAAATGCTATGCCTAATATACCACAAACAACCAAGTCAGCTAGTAAACTATCCTTAATATTTCCTACAATAACTGTCCTGAACACAAGTGATTTGTTTGAAAGTTTACAAGTCTTCAGTTTCACAATTTTTGTTTTCTTCACACAGAATATGTCTTCAGTCATTCTTACTAAAAAAGAAAAAGAAATAGAGTATATGTTTATCCACAGGTATATAATTTTGTTTTGAAAATGCAGATTTTAAATAAAATAAATTAACTCTGGAAAAACACAAACCTCAAGAAAACTGAACTTTAACATATTTTGAAAAAATTGTAAGTACTTTTACCCACCAAAAACACTAATAACATGTTCAACACAGAAAACAAAGTAACTTAAAACATAGGCACTTAAGACTATAGATCAACAGCCTAACAATTGAGTCTCTCTAAATTTCTTTAATAAAACACCTTATGAAACCATAAGCACAAGCATAAATTCTGATTTTCTATAGATTAACCCTTTCCATATAGCTCATGGTCATAGTGCATCTTATCTTATTTTGTAGACTTACATTCAAAATTTTATTAAACTACTATTTTATGAATGTCTATAATTTCTTACTTCAAAAGTAAATATTTTAAAAATTGCTAAATATTGATTTTGTGGTTGTCACATGGTACATCCATCTTCTGCATTTGTTCAGATTGTATCGTGGGCATCATAAAATGTAGTCTACAGTTCTTAATGAATTAAAATAAAAATTACCAATACAGACAAGCTAGAATAAAAAAATAAGAACTTCCTACCTTTTCTCCTTGCTGAGATATCAATACATTTAGCAAACCCACTAAAGTTAGTCTGCCTATCTCTTTCTCTTTCGAAAATATTTGTTCACCTATGCTCTCATGTTTATAACTAATAAAAAGTACTCATTTTAGATGAAGTTATTCTGTCAGTCTTCCTAAAGTATTTACATGGGTAAAGATGTTATTACTGTTGCACGGTGAATCACAGTGAAATTTTGTGGTATTGGTATAGTAATTTATACTTCATAACATCATAAGTAATAAAGATTATATATTATAATATATATATATATATATATATATATATATATATATACTACGT